GGTATGCCACCTAGAGCAGAGCTCAGTGTGGAGGGCGTGAGGCTGGCAGCTGAGCAGTGTCACCCTCTGCTCTGTCACAGTGGGTGGACTTGCCTCTCATGGCCTTTGGGCCTGAGCTGTTGACATACACTGGGTTGCTCAGCAGCTCCCTGGACACATGGATGATCCCCAGGGCAAGTGACCAGGCAGGCACACAGTGAGCTGCATTCCCGATCTGAGGAAAGCTGGGCACTCAGAGGCAGAGGGAGAGAAATGTCTCCCAGCCTTTAGGCCCTGAGGGGAGCGCTGTCAGAGTGATGTTTATCTTTCTACTAGGCAACAGAGTGCTAACACATCTGAGAGACTCAACTCATTTTCCCTGGCAGCCTCTCCCTGGCACAGGATAAGGACCCATTCCCCGTTTGAAAAAGCAGGACAGTCATTCCCAGGATGATATGGACGGGGGACCTGAAGAGTACCTGCTAAGCCAAGAGCACAGGAACATGGCTTGAGGAAGTAGAAACCCAGACAAGTCACCTGTGAGAGTCCCCATTGTGAGGAAGGACTGGAGTGGGGCTGGCTGAACATCAGAGGTCACAGGTAAGATATAGGGCCCAGGGACTCTGAGACTGAGGCTGGGTAGGGAACCCTTGCCCGGAGACAGCAGTTCTCCCCCAAAGATCAACCTACTCTCCCACAAAGCACCCTCCTCTAGTTACCTTTGTATCTGATATATTCCTACAAACCAATAATGAAAACCATAAACCGTCAAACCTGTTGCCATCCAGTCTATTCTGACTCATAGCGATCCTGTAGTTAACACTTATATATTATGCCTGCTATGTACCAGACACTATTTTAAGGGCCTTGCATATATTACTATATGACGTATTTAATACATTTAAACTTCATAATAACTCTATCAGGTAAGTACCATGATTATCTCCATTTTTATAGAAGAGGAAACTGAGACACGAAAAAGGCTAAGCAAAATGGTTGCGGTCACCCAGCTAAGTAAGCGGCAGAATCAGGATTCAAACCCAGGCAGTTTGGCTCCAGAGGATTTGCTCTTTATAGGGTCCCTACTGTGTACCAACCCCAAACCAAAGCCACCACTGTGGAGTTGATTCTGACTCATAGTGAGCCTATAGGACAGAGTAGAAGTGCCACATAGGGTTTCCAGGGCTGTAAATCTTTGTGGAAGCAGACTGCCACATCTTTCTCCTGCGGAGCAGCTGGTGGGTTCAAACCACCAATCTTTTAGTTAGCAGAAGAGCTCTTTAACCACCGCTCCACCAGGGCTCCTTCTACTGTGTACCAGGCACTACATATTCAGTAGTACGGGACTACCTGTACTACTTATGGGGTATTCGAGTTAATGACAAACCACACTTAGCAACTGTCTGATCTTTTCTTTTGTACGTCTTATCGTTAGCAATATGTTGCAGCGTGAAATTTGCTGATGTGTGTCATCTCAGATGTTCACTTGCTGATGTTCAGTTTATGATTTACTGTTCAAAACACTGCCAGATTTATAAACATGCTGATAATAAAAGGCAATAATAATGAAAACTTAAAAAAAAAATGAGGTATTCAACTTAGGTCAGAACTGACTTGCTATGGAGTCGTTGGAACGGAATCCTGTCATAAGTTGGGGACTGTCTGTATTTCATTTTACCCTCGCGTCAATTGTATAAAGGTAGGCTTTATTATTCTCGCTTGCAGAAGGAGAAGCCAAGGTTCGGGGCAGTCAGTTGACTTCCTTGAAATCCCACAAGTTAAGGGACTGAGCCAAAATTTGCACCCATTTATCTGGACTCCAAAGCCCAGTGTAAGGAGACCTGGTGGGGCACTGGTGAAGTGCTCGGCTGCTAACAGAAAGGTTGGTGGTTTGAACCCACCCAGCAGCTCTGCAGGAGAAAGACCTGGTGATCTGCTCCCATAAAGATTACAGCCTACAAAACCCTATGGGGCAGTTCCACTCTGTCAGATGGAATCACAATGAGTCAAAATCGACTCAATGGCACCCAACAATAACAAAGCCCAGGGTGCATTCTACCATACAACACTGTTTACGGTAATCTATTTCCTTCACTGTCTGTGACCTTTCCAAGCTCTCACACCAAGTGCTGCCTGAAAGACAAATAAATGAAGGCGGTTTTGTGACACGTGAGAGCTGAGAGGCCCTGGAGAGCAAATAAGGACCTGGAGGCCCAGACAAGGTAAGTGACCTTTCCAGGGTCACACAGCCCGGCAGCCTCTGCCTGGGGGTCTATCATCTCCTTCATTGCCGTTCCTCTATCTCTTTCTCTGTCTCCGTCATTGACCTACACAAGGTAACAGAGGGCTTAGTAGTTCAGGCTTCCATTTATTCAAATTCACGAGCAGAGAGGGGGTGACAAGGAGAAGATGGGTCCACAGGTCAAAAACACTCCCATTTTGCCATACATCTGTTGTGTCTGTGCTTTCCCCAAGATCCTCACTACCCATACTAACTCTAGGCATTGCTTCTGGTTGAGTCTCACCCTTGCGCCCTGCCTGACCCCACCTGGCTCCACCCTCGCTCTCCTTTTATCATGGATCTTTCAACTCCATTCTCAGAGCTAGTACGGGACCCTGACTGCCCACAGGTACTTGGGTACATAAGGTAGGACCAGAGAACAGAGGGCCTTCATGTGATTCAGAGGGCCAGGAGCAATAGGGAGCCAAGGCAGGTTTCTGAGCAGGGGATGACATGACAAAAGAATATTTTAGGAAGATTAGTCTGGAAATGTGTGAGAAATGGGTTGTCAGGGAGCTGTGTAAAGGATCCAAGATTACCAGCAATGAAGGAGGGTTTGGACAAAGGTTGTAGTAAGGAGAGGGCAAAAAAAGAGGGCCTATCTGGAAGGTTGGTTGTTCAAACCTACCCAGTGGCACCACGGAAGAAAAGCCTGGTGATCTGCTTCGGTAAATACTGTAGCCAAGAAAACCCTAAGGAGCAGTTCTACTCTGTAACACGTGGGGTTGTCACAAGTTGGAATCCACTCAAAGGCAATGAGTCTGGATATCTGGCAAGCATTTGGAAGAAGGAGTGGAGAGGATTTGGTGTCTGACTCAGTATGGGGAAAAGAGAGACCAAGATGTTCCACAGGACTTCAAGGTGCCTCACCTAGGGTGGAGGGTGGTGGCAATGACAGAAATTTGCCAAGCAGAGGTGCTGGGAGAGGGAGAAAGGGGGAGGAAGTGCTGAGCTCATCTTTGACCATGTCAGTTGGAGTTGACCTGACAGGGACAGACTGAAGTCTCACTTAGCACCGCAACTGTGATCTTCAGGAAGGAACTGAGGACATGAGTCAGCCCAAGGCGGTGGAGACTTGTCACCCTCACCCAGCACCTGAGTGTCATCACCTGCGAACTCCTGACCTCAGGATCAGCTGACACTGAGGATGCCAACTCCTTGGAGGGAAGGGCATGGGGAGGAAGAGGCTCTGAAAACTGATGCTGGGCCCCCTGTGAGCAGCAGGGCAGACAGCAGCAGGGCAGACAGCAGCAGGGACAGACAGCATGGCCCTGCCTCTGTTCTTCATGAGACAGCTGCTGCTGACTCTGTCACCATTGGACACCTAAGAGTTGGCAATGGGGTGGGAACTTTTTAATTTGAAGCAAGTGAATCATAGCATTGCCCCCAAGTGCCCCTGGGCATCCAGCCACAGGAGACCCTCACACAATCTGGGCACAGGAAAGAGCCTCTCCGCCACCCTCTCTCCCCAGGACTTGCATCTCAGAGTTCTATATTCCCAGCAGATGGCAGCAGAAGCTTGACTCCAGGTGCCCCTCCCACAGGACCCTCACCCTCTCTGCGACTCTCAGCTTTCATCGAAATGCAGAGGAGCTCTTGGGGTGCCTGTGTGGATTAGAGGGGTGCCAGGACCCCTCAAGCTGTTCTCAAGCCAAGCTCGGCTCCTGGCACCTGCACCAGTAGCTTGGTGTGCTTGTAGGTTCTTGGCTCGACCACCTCTTGTATCCACCCACAGGGGCCAGCACAACTCAGGGTCCACATCCCAAAGATGAGGCTGGTCCAAGGCGGAGGCAGCAGTAGGTACAGGGGAAAAAGCAGAAAGGCTTTCATCTGAGTGGTCTCTGGTTCACGGGCGAGGTGGGCATCAGGGTCGCAGCAGGCAACTCCAGTGACAACAGAGACAGCACTGGAAAGAACCCAGGGTCTGTTGTTGCTATTATTATTATTGCTTTGGGGCAGAGGGAGCTTTGCCCCCAGAAGGAGGTCAACCTGGTACACAGAGGCTGGCACCAGTATTCCCATCCTTGTCACCAGCAGTGTGGGCACCACGGGAGAGGGGGTGAGCAGAGGAGGAACAGGTACTGTGCACCACCGCTGAGAGGCAAGGTAGCAGAGGGGGCCTCTGTGAGCAGAGCTGACCACGTGTGCACACACTCCTTGACAGGTGTGTATACAGAAACACGAGTGCAGGCAGGTGTGTCACTGAGCAGGGCCATCAGTGTGCACGTGTGTTCACAGTGGAGTGTAGCATGGATGAGCACACCCAGAGCTATGAAGGATGTGGCTGTGGGCTACAATGGTGAGCATGAGCAGGTAAACAAACACCTGGAGCACCAACAGGAAAGACCAGAGGGTGAGATGGGCAAGCGGAGGAACAGGAGGGTGGGGTCATCCTCCCTCCCAGCACCCCTACCCCAGCCACTAGTATGCGTGAGTCAAGGGAGGAAGCTGAGTGAGAGGAGCCTGTATGGGGGGTGGGGGTGCCATGTGGTCCACATACAGGAGGGCGCTGGGTTGCCTGGGTGTGTCTGGTGTATATATACAGTTGTTCATGCTGATTACACCTACGATGACAGGCTCCTCTGGGCTTGCCCAGGGTGTGTGCCCAGGCTCACAGGGCGTGTGTGTAGGTGAGGGCATGTGTGCAGGTCGACTACATGTGTCTTCTTATGGGCACGCGTGCTGCTCACCCACCGGCCTCCAGCAGCTGCCCTGAGGAACCCAGAGGCCTGGCACTCCTCTAGGCACTGAGATCCACCACAACATGTCGGTACACAAGCGTTTGTCCCTTGAAGCTGGGGGCCAGAAGTAGCTGGGCATCCCCAGCAGGCATGTAGCAGAAGGCCCGAGGGGCCTGCACAGCCAGCTCCTGGAACCGCACAAACTTCTGCCGCCCCTCATCCCACTGGTAGATCTGGGTGAAGGAGAAGTCGCTGCCCAGTGCCAGGTATCGGCGGCCACCCACCAGGAAGGGCTGCAGGGCCAGCGAGCCCCGGGAGGGCAGGGCCTGCACCTCTGAGAAACGGGTGCCCTCCCAGCGCAGGATCTTGGAGTCACCGATGTAGCGGCTGAGGCAAAGGTAGCTGTCACGGCCGGCGCGAAAATGTTTCACTGCCTGGGCATCAGGCACCTGGGTCACCTCACTCTGGGGCACAAACTGCTTCTGGGTGCGACTCCACTGGTAAATGACTGGTGCCTGGGAGCTGCTAGACACAATCAGCCGGGGCTTACCCTCACCGTCCACAAACTCAAGGTCAGTGTCTCGGTGCCAAGCATGCAGGGCCTGGTGGGAGTAGAAGCCATTCTGGTGCCAGCGGTAGACACTGGTGGCACCTGCCTTGGAGCTGTCGGCCACGGCAAAGTACCAGTCCCCGTCGATGCGAAAGGCCTCTAGGTCATTGGGTTTGCGCACACGCTGGGGGTCGATGTCCTGCAGCTTGGTGAAGCGCGTGGTGTTGGGATCCCAGTGGTAAATGTAAGAGCCACCAAACAGCTGTGCCACGACCACGTACAGCTGGCTGTCCACCACCATGGGCTTGCAGTGCACTGCCGAGGGGGCTGCCCGGACAGAGGCAGGCAGGGTCAGGCAAGGTCAGGCTGCTCCCACCCGCTCCAACCCTGGGCCAGAACTAAGGTTCTCTGCTACCGTATTCCATCCCCTCTTAGGTTCAGCAACTCAGCACTCAGTGTTTTCTAGTTGTTTCTAGCTATTAACCAGTCTCAGCGTCACCCTCTCCACTCTCACCTCCAGGGTTTAAATACAAGCTAAACACAAAATAGGTGCCCCTAGATATTGATCAGAGTTCCCGGGTGGTGCAAATGTGCTCAGCTGCTAAACTTGGTCTGCCCTCCCATATGCTAATGACCCCCCAGCTCCCAATCTGGAAGTTCAAGTCCACCCAGAAGCACCTTGGAAGAAAGACCTGGTGATCTACTTTGGAAAAATCAGCCATTGAAAACCCTATGGAGCACAGTTCTACTCTGACACACATGGGGTCACCAGGAGTCAAAACTGACTCCATGGCAACTGGTTGGTTTGTAGATATTGAGTGTTTAACCATAATATTAGTCACTGGATTTTTATTATGTGCAGTCACTGTGCTAAGTGTTTAACAAATCTCATCTCAGTCAATCACTCTGAAAAAGGCTCTATTATTTTGCCAATTTCACACAGAAAGAAACTGAGTGTAAAATGACTTTCCCAAAGTCACCCCACTGACAAATAGCCAGGAAGGGGAAGGAGGAAGAGTTCGAGCACATCCACAGCCATGCCTATCAAATCCTAGGTACACCAAAATGGCACCCGGATGTTTGGATACTTGTGTGTGAAGGCACATTCTCCCAAGAGTTCCCACTTTTTAAAGACCAGAACATAAGTGGGCTTTTATGTATAAGAACATATGCACGTGTGTACCTGTATTCACAACCAAATATATCTGAACCCTCCTCAGGCACCCGAAGCATATGAGGCCACACACTCCCCACTGGCTCTGGTGTCCGCAGTCAACACCCCTCATCTCCTCCTCACCATCCTTGTTTCACCTGCCTCTCCTCTTCACCATGGCCACATCTTTTCCCAAACGGGAGCTCATGCTAAGCCTCTGGCTCTGGCAACCACGAAGTATAAATCCCTTCTTTGAGCCTTGGTCTGCCCACCCATATGCTAATAACCCCTCAGCTCCCGGTCTGCAGCTCAGGCTCTCCCTGCCTGCCCATCCAGGAGCACCTCAAACTTAGCCCGGACAAAACTGAGCTCCATACCCACCCCCAAACCTGTTCCTCCTCCTCCTGTGTCCTCAGTTTCACTATGTGGCTTCACCTACAAGCTAAGCCAGAAACCTAGGGCGTCAACTTCAACACCTTCCTCTCCCTCACTCACCCCACAGGTGATCATCCCCAAGTTTGTAAATGTTTCCTTCTATTTTCTGATAGAGTTTGTTTAAGTCTCGTGTTATTTCTTCGTTTAATGTTTAATAGAATTCTCCAGGGAAACTTGTTGGACCTGGAGTTTCCTTTGTGGAGAGGTTTTTTTTTAAAATAATAATGACTTCAAGTTCTTTAATAGATATAAGGCAATTTAAATTTTCTGTTTCATCTTGTGTCAGTTCAACCCTCCCTTCTAAATATATCTCTTTGTTCCCACTGCTGTTGGCCCAATCCAGGCTCTAGCATCCTTCCCACAGACAGAAGCACATCCCCCAACTGGTCTTCCCACATACCCTGGCCCATGCCTCTCCACTCTCCACGCTGCTCACAGAGGGAGCTTTCCAAAATGCAGGCTGGCTTGGTTGGCACACCCTACTCAAAACCTGTCAATGACCTGGTCATCTCTCTCTGGTCTCATCTCCTGCAGCTTCTCACCTTGAATATGCTCCAGTCATACAAGTTGCTTATAGTTTCCACACATGCACACACGCGCACGTGCACACACACACACACACTAAGCTGTTGCGCACCTCTGCCAGAACACATTTTCCATCTTTTTCCTCCTAGCTGACTCTCCCGTGGCCTTCAAGACTCAGCTTAAACTTAAGCCAATAGCCACTGAGTCCAACAGCCACTTACACTTTCTTTCCTTATTTCACTAGCATCACCTAGTTGCCTAAGCCAGGGACCTAGGCATCATCTCTGACTCCTTCCTCTCCCTTGTCCTTCAAGACTCAGCTTAGGCATCCCCTCCACCAGGAAACCTTCCTTGATTGCCCAAGGGAGGCTTCTCCTTTGTGCTCCCAGAGAATCATGTTCTTATCTCCATCCTTGCATGTACCCATTTTATGGATGTTATCTGTGTATGTATCTGCCTCCCCCCAAACACTGGAAAGTTCTTATGGACACAGACCTTGCCTCATCCATCCCTCTACCTATAAGAACTCAATAAATGTTTGTTAAACAATGGATACCCCTTCCCTTACACCCCATCTAGGGCCAGCACAGCCAGGCCAGGCACAGGTACCTGGGATTCTATCATAGTCTCGCAGCTGTCGTTCAACATAGTCCCACTTGAGGATGGTGCAGGCGCTGGCACCTGGTTGGGCCAGAGCCAAATAAAGGTCACTGGAGTAAAGGAAGGGCTCAGCTGACACTGCCGGGAAGGACAGGGTCTGGTACAGCACGAAATCTGCAGGGGCGAGAGGGGTACATGTGTGGAGGGGTGTTACTGAGACCAGAAGGGGTAAAAGTAAGAGCTCACTGGGTGGTAAAGGGTGTTGAGGGAGGTTCAAGTGGTGCCTATGGAACAACCCGGGGGAGGGCAGGCCTGATGCCTGAGGGCAGGGGCAACTCCTACCCGTGGTGATGCAGTCAAACTCCCGCAGTGGCAGATCCTGCACCTTGTGCTCCTGGAAGCGGGGCGGGCTGTTGCAATAGATGGGGGCCACTGTAGTGTTGATGTGTGCCAACCACTCCACCAGCCACTTCACCTTGCAGTCACAGTTGAATGAGTTGCCCCGGAGATCTCTGGATCATGAGGGTGGTAGAGGGGGCACAGAGAGGGATAGACTCTCAGTTACTCTGCCCACCCAGGCCCTCTAGGTTTTCAGAAGTAGATATTGTCAAGGCTGCTGCTAGTCTCTTACACAGCATTTTTGTGCAAACAGAAAAAGTTCTCCTTCGGGTGGACGCAGCCCGATACATTTTTGGCAAGGAGAGTGTGGGCTGAGTTTCAGCTCCTACTCACCTCACATTTTGCGCTGTACAACCTGCACAGCTGTATGTTACATCCCTGTTCCTCCAAAGCTTCCACAATCCAGGGCTTTTATTTATTTATTTTAATAAGTAATGATAAATGATTGTGGCTATGTTATAGGACTTTAATGTAGATTCAAATCAAACATACGTTTTAGAAGCACATGTTTTAAAAACATACATAGTGTCTAATGAGCATTCTGAGGGAACCACAGAAACTTTGAAGAACTCCAACTTGGAGAGCCATTGATCTCTATCTAACTCCACCTAGCCTTCTCCAAGACCCCTAGCCCCAACTCCTCTCAGCCTCTCAAGACCTTATGGTCTTGCTAATCTCTAACTCCCACACCACTCTGTCCAGGGACACACCCCTCTGAGGCCTTATCAGAAGAGGTAGGACGCAGGTCTTACAAGTCACTCAGGATGTCCAGGGGTCGAAAGATGTCTCGAGGCAGTGTCTGCAAGTTATTGTTGGCCAGTGAGCTGTAAGAAAGACCCCTGGGTCACCTGAAGATCATGACCGAGGCCAAAGGCCACAGAATATGGAGGGCTTTGTTCCAACGTATGTATGTGCATGATGTACTCACAGGTGTGTCAAGGACTTGAGTCCTCGGAAGGTAAACTTGGAGAGTGCCCAGATGTCATTGTTCTCAATGAAGCTGGAGAAAATGAGAACTAGTCTCAGCCACCAGTCAGGATCCCAGACCCCCCAACAAGCTATTCCCCTACACCTACACCCCAGCCTAGATTCCAGCCTAGGTCCCTGAAAGAGGCTTCCATTCCAAGTCTGGCAACATTAAGGCTGCGGTGGTAGGGGCAACTGGACAGAACGGTTTAGGCAGGAAGATGGATGAAATGACCCTTGCTCAGGTCCTTCCAGTGAGAGGATTCAAGGGCTCTCATCTCCCCACCACCTCCTCCCAGCCTCCCTCATTCATCCTCCCCTCTCAGCCCACCCAGGCCCGGCTCCCTCCTCCCTTCTCCCATTCTCCCTCTCCTTCCCACACACAGGTACTGCAGGTGCGACAGTCCTGTGAAGGCATTGTCTCCAATCAGGGTGAACTTGTTGGAGTTGAGTAACCTAGGGAGACAAAGGAGGAATTAGAGCTCCGAGGGTGTGTTGGCTGCCCTGGCCCCCAGCACATTGCCTCACCCCTGGGCTTGCCTGAGATCTGGCTGCCCTCCCCACCACACCTCTGGACCCCAGCTGAAAGCCCCCAAACAGCCTGGGCAGCAAGACCAGGCAGGAGCCCATTCTGGCCCCCGAAGCTCCCAGAGTCCCTGTGTGCTCCTAGGGTACAAATAGTCAGGGGCAGATTTCTCCTGCCAGGCTAGGTCCTGGCCCTTCCCCACTGCATCTCCTCTGCACCCTCACCCCAGCCCACTCTAGTGCACCAGGGGCTGATGGTAAGTTTGAGAACCCATAGTGAGGGGGGCGGGTAACATATATGTACTCTCTCTCATGGCTCAGATTTCAGTCTTAAGCAGTGCCTTCTAGAATTCCAGGCCCTCCTATCATCCCTCCCTTTCAGACCCTACTTCTTTCTTCAAACCCTGACCCCTGGGTTACCCACCCACTGACAACCCTCTGGTGCCAGTCCAAGCCATTGCACCGAGCTCCTTTGGGTCTCCAGAAAAATCTCTCCCTAAATAGGCCACAAATACCCCCTTACTAGCTTCTGGATGCAATCCCTAGCTCTCCCTCTCTACAACTGCTGCCCCTTGGGCCCTCAGATCCTTGTCCTGAGCCCTGACTCCAGGCTGCTCCACCTTTTGCGGCATATCCTATCAGAACAAAAGTAAGGGACACCTGCACCTTCATCTCCAAATGCTGCATAGGACCCGCCTCCCCCCACCCCCCAGGCCCTGTCCATACAAGAACTGCAGCAGCGGCAGGTGGGAAAACGCTCCATCCTGAATCTCGGAGAAGGCAGCATTCACCAGCGTCCTGCAGGGCGACACTTGAGTCAGTCCTGGGGGCAGTATGCAGGGACTGTGCTGGGGCAGGGGTCTGGATGGCGACTGAGATGTGGGCAGGGCAATGGGTTCTGCACTCACTTGCCCTGGACACTCCCATTTCACCAGTCCTGGCCCCTCACCTGGGTCTGTCTTTCCCTTCTTTTCACAAACTCACCACCTTCCTTCACCATGATCCTCCCCTGCTGCCTCCCTGAGCACCAATGGCCTCAGGCTCTGGCTTCCCCCTCAGCCAAAAGAAGGTTCCATTACCCTCACTGTCCATCAGCCAAACACCCACATGTGCTGGGTGCTATTGAGGGATGGGCACTGGGATGGGGATGTGCCTAGCATCCTGCTCTCAAGCACCTGAAGCCTCTCCAGTCCAGCAGGGAAGGGGGGGCCCTGAGGCGGGTCGCTGGAACTGACAGCTGGCTGGCTGGCTGGCTGGGTAAAGAATGGCTGGCAAGACCAGTGGCAGGCGTCTCCCCTTCCCCCTTCACTGTGTAGGCATAGCTCACTCCCTGGGGTGACTCTCCCCCCCATCTCCCTTCCCCACAAAGGCTTTCTGCCCTAGGTGTAACATCGCAGGCAGGGGCCCACATGCTCATGTAAACAACCCACCAAGTGCAGAGCCCCACACACAGTAGGTCTCATTGATGCTGATGTGGCGATGATTCATTCTTGTCATAAAGGCCTGCTTTGCCCAGCCATGGCCACTGAGCCTGCATGACTGCAGAACTTCCTGCCCTGCCAGTGCCTCCAATCTCCAGCCCTGAGAGTCCCCTGGAGTCCTCCTGGACCCCACACTCTGAAGAGGGGAACCAGGGGTTCTCCCATCCTCTCCCAGAGCTGTTCCTGCCACCCTCCCTGCCCCCACTCCGTCCCCAAGCCAGGGCTCAGCACTCACAGGGAGATGACCTCCGAGGGCAGGTTTCTGGGCACTGCCTTAGAGTCCACGCAGAAGGCGGTGTCCCTGGTGCAGGAGCAGCTGGGCGGGCAGGGGGGCGCCTTGGGGGGCCTCTTGGCACTGACTTGCAGCATTAGGCAGAAGCCCAGCATGGACAGCGCCAGCAGCCCCAGGCCCGGGCCCCGCCTGGCCCGCAGCCCCGCCATGCCGCCTGCAAGCAATGCCTAGGGCCGCCCGCAGTCTCCGCCCCGCCGCTCCCGCGGGCTGTGCTACCGGGCGCGGGTAGGCACCTCCCGGCCCCCGGCAGCCCCAGCCGCAGCCGCAGCTAGGGATCTTGCATCCGCTGCGGAGAGCAGACTCCGCTCGTAGCCCCGTGTGCCTCCTCCTGTCCTTGGGCGCCGGCTGCGGTCCCCTCCCCTGCTCGCTCCAGCAAGCTGGCTCGGGAGAGATGCGCGGAGCTCCGGAGCGAGCGAGCGAGGGCTGGCCAGGATGGGGTGGACGCGGACTGCGGCGTCAGGCGGCGGGGGCGCGCGCGGGGGCTGGGTGGGGGAAGTCCCAGGCCTGGCAGTAGCCAGAGAAAGGAGTGATTGCCGGCCCTTGCCGCTGTATGCCTTAAAGAAGATCTCTGGGGCCATCTGCTTGTTTGTATGGTACCCAGAGCGTCTGTGCGCGAATGCATGTGTGTGAGCGTATACAGGTGCATCCCTATGCTGGGCATGACTATGTGCCCGCACATTCTGCATAGCGTTATGTACATGCTCCCTTGGGAAGGCTTTTCTGCCTTCTGAATCCATGTGCATCTGTGTACCTGTGTATATGTCTTGGCCTTCAGGGGACGCATCCTCCAAGCAGAAGTTCATGGGTATGTCAAAAGTGACATATGTATATTGGCATGCACAAGAATGTACACAGAGCCCTGTGTCTGCATATATATCTGTGTTCACATGTGTTTCCATGGCTACTGAACAGAATGCGCCTTTGTGTCCGGGTGATCAGAAAAGGGAAATGTAGTCACTGGAGCTGGAGTGGGAACGTGTGGAATTCTGGAACATTTCTCACTGCACAACCACAGCTTTTTGGAGCTGGGGAACGCCTTGGAAGTTTTCCAATTCAGTCCTTTGTTTAACAATTGAGGAAACTGAGGCCTGAAAGAAGCGGAATGCAGCCAAGCTTTAGATCACATCTACTATCGTGTTGTATACTTTACATACTTAATCCTCTCAACCTTTTGAGGTAGGTAATATTAATCTGCTTTTATAGATAAGAAAAGTAAGGCCCAGAGTATCAGAAGAAGAAAATGACAGAGCAGGGGTTTTAGCCCACTCTACATAACTCTAAGGTTTACAGTCACTCTACATAAGTAATTTTTAAAGTGTGGTCCAGGGAGGCTAGGGGTCCTTGAGAACCTTTCAGGGAGACCTTGAGGTCAAAACAATTTTTCTAATAATATTAAGACATGACCTGCCTTTTTCATTTTCATGTTCTCATAAAAGTACCTGGAATTTTCCAGAAGCCACATGGTAAAGCTTCTATTAAGCCAGACATTAAAGAGGTTTGCAAAAATGTTAAAACAATGATATTCTTATCTCTAAATGTTTTGCTTTATGACATGGTTATTTACACTTAAAATGTGTTATTTATGGTAACATAAGATGAGTTTATTATTGCTATTGTAAATTAATAGGTAATTAAAAATTTTCAGTAAATACGAACAGATATAACCCACATAAACAAAAGCTCTCTGGGGTCCTCAATACTGTTTAAGAGTGTAAAGGTTCCTAAAGTTAAAAAAAAAAAAAAATTGTGAACTGCTGCTCTGCCACGCCACCTCTCAGGGAAGGGAAGTGACTGCCCCAAGAGCTCATAGCTACGAGGCAAGGGGAGCCTGGAAGTCATGTCTGGGCCCCTAGTCTAGTACTCTTTCTACGTCAGTCCAGGGAACTGAGATCCCTGGGCCTAAGATGCTTCCTCAGCTGTCCCTAGCCTCTGCCAGTAGGGGATTCTCTGGTCTGAGCTTAAGTCCCTTCTCTCTTAGCCAGAGATGCCCCTGCCTTTTGATGCCCACTTGCCACTGCCCATCCAGCTGCTCATGCTGCACTCCCTATGTCAGCTTGTGGGAAGGAAAGCAATGGAGGTGGGGAGGGTGGCTGGGGCAGCTGCTGGGCAACCACCCCCATTCGTCCCTGGCACGGCTCTGCCTAGCACACAAAGAGCAGAGTGAATCTTGTCCCATACCCTGCAGCTGAGGGGCTGGGAGAGAGGAAGAGGAGGGGCACACACAGAAGAGATGGTTACCATGGGACTCTCCATCACCCACAGTTCTCAGAGGGGTTTAACACAGAGACAGACAAAAAGTGGGAGTCTTGATCCTATTCTTAGCTAGCAAGAGGTGCCCTGGGGGATGAAGTAGATGAAGACAATCGTGATGACTGGGCTTTCACATAGTGATATCATTGGATTCTCTCAACAGCTTGATGAGGTGTACAGAATAGGGAGTATTAGCCCCATTTCACAGATGAACATACTAGAGTCTAGAAAGGCAGAATAACTCATTCAGGGTCCAGAGCCAGCCAGTGGGAAAATCAAGATTGCCACATACTGAAGAAATGAACTACTGACTGCTCAGAAGCCCCTTCATGTGTGGTGACAGTCTTATCATTGAATACAATTAAATATTGGCTGTGCACATGCCCTGTGCTCTGTGGGCAAAGTCGGCAGCCTAGCTGGGAAGACTGGGCAACAAAACGCATGTCCATAGCTGATAAGAATAGCAGTGTGGTCAGTAGTAGGAGAATTTCAGAGAAGTCAGAGGGGAACTGTAAGGAGGGGAGGTCATGGAGGCATGGCCCTGGCTCTTGGCCTTTTAGGATGGGTGGTGTTCAGAGAGATGGAGAGACGTTGGAGGTGGATTTTCTAGGAGGGAGAAATAGCCTAAGTAAAAGCAAAGAAGTGAGAAGGCTGGAGCAGAAGGCCAGTGTTGGGGACAGTGGGCCATGCGGCTAAAGAGGGAGATTGGAGCTTCAAAGTCGAAGAGGCACGCACGCCCAAGTAAAATCCCTCCTTCCATTCCTTCTCCAAGGATCCCAAGACCTCTACCAGGGTGGTGGTGGTACCATGTGAACTTTCCTTATGCAATTTGAAGGCTCCCTTCCCTGGCCCACAAACAGACAAAAAACGAGTGAAGAAGAAGAAAGAGAAGGAAAAGAAGAAGCAGTCGCTGCCACAAAGCTTGTGAGAACTATATACAACCTAAGGGCAACCTTCCAGACAGAGAGAAGACCCAGGAGAGCAGGGGCTTCTTTCCAAGGAAAAGACCCCCTTCCCAGCATGCACCCATGATGGCAAGCCCCAGCACCTGCTCAGAACAAGCCCTGCCACTGGACTCTGCGGCCTCCTGAGATGCCCGCAGGGACCCCGAGATGCCTGCAGTTCTCCCTCTGGCCTGCTGCCCACCTGGCTTAGGCTCAGTATTCGTGAGTCAGCCGATCAATCCCAACGTTGCCAGGACAACCCGAGGCAGGAGTGGGGGCCCTGGGGAGCGGGCAGGGGTGGACACTGCAGGCGGGCTGTCTCCAGCATCTGGCACCTGGACACAGCTGAGGCCAAGTTGAGAGGAAGATGCTTCTCTCCACTCCCCCTTCATGCCCGCACCCCTCCCCCTCTTCCACTCATCCTAGGACACTTTCCCTGCTGGAGGCTTAGGCAAATATTTAAAGGGGCAGTTGCGGGGTGAGGAGGGTGGTGGGAGCAAATATTTCCCTTCCTTCTGTCCTTCCCTGAGCTTCTCAGGGGCTCTCAGCTTGGATGCCATGCTATTGTGCAATCTCTAGAGTGAAGGCCCTCTAGCTGGAGAGAGTCCTTGTGGGCACAGGGAGCCTGCCAGGGCTAAAGAATGGGGGGCCAGTGCATGATTGAAGGGCAGGGCCAAAGTGTGAAGGACCCCTGAGCAAGGGACAGGAATTGGGCTGAAGTGTTGGGGTTAAAGTGTAGGAGGATAAGGGAGTCAGGCTAAGAGAGGAGTGAGGTGTAGGGCTCTTACTTACACATTTGTGACAGTGTAGAGGGGAAGGGGCTTTAGAGACCACCTGGCCCAACAAGTGAAAGGGGGCCCAAGAGAAAAGATGTAGCCAAACCACTATCGTTAGTAGATTTGATTTAGTATAAGAGGTAGGGAAAACATAGAGGGGAGAAGGAGAAAATCCAGAAAGGGGACAGTATTTGGGTGAGTGGCAGGCATTCTTAAGGTAAATTTAGGGTCAAACAAAAAAAACCAAACCCATGGCCACTGAGTTGATTCTGATTCACGGCAACCCCATGTGTTACAGAGTAGAACTGTGCTTCATAAGGTTTTCTTGACTGTGATCTTTACAGAAGCAGATCACCACCAGACCTTTCTTCCGAGGTGCTGCTGGATAGGTTGGAACCACCAACCTTTAGGCTAGTAGTCAAGTGCAAACCATTTGCACCACTCAGGGACCTAATTTAGGGTCAGGAGATATAAAAAGAAGAGTCCAGAAGAGCAGGGGGATAGGTGCCATGGAGCAAGTGGATGAGAAGATTGGGACCCAATCAGTCACCACACCTAGCTCTGTGCAAGGCTGTCTGGGCGTAAGAAAGAAGTGTCAGGCATGGGATCTACCATCAGAAGGCTTCAGTTTACAAACAAACCCATGGGGTGGACAGGGGTGAGGGGAAGCACATGAATAAGAGTTATCAGCAGAGTGGACAGAAATGATAAAAGTGACTAGCGGCAAGTCTAAGGTTAGGTACCAGATTGTGGGAGGAGGAGAGGCAGGTAAAGAGGCCCTGAGGTGGAAATCTGACCCACCCCCCTGAGAGAAATGGTTATTTATGATCCCCCCCAAACTGATGCCAAATCACCTTCTACTTTCAGCAGTGACCCCTCTGGGTCTATAGATACTGCCCCTCAATCCTCTTCCTGAGCTCATCCCTATCCTTGGGGGACATTCTGTTGGGGAAACTGATGGATGGGCCATTGGGCCAGACCCTTGGCATCCTGAGTGGTTCAGCCTGGCAAAGAGCAGGAAGAGCCACAGGACTTCAGGGGCAGGTGCCAGCAAGAAAGGCAGGTGTGCCAGGAAGACACCCATGGTGAGAGGTGCAGATTGCCTAAGGACAAGTTTGCTCAGCTCACCCACGTTTGCTCTTGCTGGGGCTAAGAGGACTCATGTGCCAGGGCCAAGGGCCCTGGGGCACTCTTGTAACTGGCTTATCAGGGCCTTGGTTCTGGAGGGTCAGGAACAAACAGGCTTCAAAGCTGAGGGCTTGGCTGGCAAACAAGAGCCAGTTTCTTCACTTCTGGCCTCCTCTCCCCACTGGCACATATAAGACTCTGGCCACACTTGGGAGACGAGGGAAGGAAGACACCTATAGCAAGATGGATGTTGGCAGCAAAGAGGTCTTGATGGAGAGCCCACCGGTGAGTGTGATTGTGTGTGTGTGTGTGTGTGTCTATGTGTGTGTGTCTGTGTGTGTGTGGTGGGCCTTGCCTCCTGCACGCCTCTCTGGGCCTGTTCCTCATCCAGATTCATCCATGCAACTAACCTACCAACCAAACAATCAACCAAGTTGCCGTTAAGTCGATTCTGACTCATGGCAACCCCATGTGTGCCAGAGTAAAACTGTGCTCCATAGGGTTTTCAGTGGCTGATTTTTCAGAAGTAGATTTCCAGCCCTTTCTTCTGAGGTGCCTCTGGGTGGACTCGAACCTCCAACCTTTGATTGTACTAAGTCAGGACGGGGACACCAAGACCACTAAGACCGAGTACCTTGGAGAGATAGACATGACTGACAGCCACCGTAGAGGTATATGGAAAGTGCTGTAGAGAGCATGGAGTAAGGAGTCACTACATATTTGGGAGGCTCAAATGACATTTGAGCTGGATCCAGAAGAATAAATAGGAGCTTACCAGGTAGAAAAGGAGGAAGGCTTTCTAGGAAGAAGAGGTAGTATGTGTAAGGGCGTTGAAGAGTTGGGAAGTCTGGATCATTTAGGGAACAGAGAACAGCTGGGCATGGCTGGAGTACCAGGGGTTTGGGGGAAACAGCTGGAGGTAAGACTGGTGGGTCCTTGGGTCCTTCCAAACTAGTCCTTCTTTCTAAGCATCTGTGGGTTTGCTGGAATTCTGTGCATCTCCCAGACCAGCTCTAGTTCCACCTCCTCCAAAAAACCTCTGATCATCTCAGCCCTCCTTTGCATGTCCATAGCATTAACTGTCTAGCCCTGGAATGGTGTGGGAAGGTGTCAGCTTGTACATGGGGAGGACGGGTCATCCTCATGACCTCACGCCTGTCTCTCTGCTTGTTCCATCATGTCAGGACTACTCAGCAGCCCCACGGGGCCGATTCAGCATCCCCTGCTGCCCTGCGCAGCTCAAACGCCTTCTCATCATAGTTGTGGTCGTGGTCCTTGTCGTCGTGGTGATTGTAGGGGCCCTGCTCATGGGTCTTCACATGAGCCAGAAACATACCGAGATGGTGAGCAAGCCTGGGATAGGATGGGCAGTGGGCAGAGGGCCTGGGTAGGGATGGGTACAAGAAACTATTCAAGGGAAATGAAGAGGAAAGGGACACAGCATGGGAAGGACAGAGGCAGGAACAAGGTGCAAACATGTCCTGGGCTTGTCCACCAGGCCCCTGCCCCACAGTGTAACAGCCTATTTCCTGCAGCACTTGATTCCATTCAGCCCCTCTGAGCTCTCAGGGAAGAACGGATTGCATTTGAGTAAAGAGAACTGAAGGTGGGCATGGGTGCTGAAGGGGTAGGAGGTGAAAGAGGAATGCCAGGCAGCACTATGCCCCACCCCCAGGTCCTAGAGATGAGCATGGGGGGACCAGAAGCCCAGCGACGCATGGCCCTGACTGAGCATGCGGGTACCACTGCCACCTTCTCCATTGGCTCCACTGGCATCGTAGTGTATGACTACCAGCGGGTGGGTATGCCTGGACCTCTTGACCTTGGGGCTGGGAGCCAATGACAAGGCTTTGCCAGACCCACTCAGTTGTGCCACTTCATAACATCCAGTTCTCCCATTCCCCAGCCCCTTTGCCTCCTCTTAGGATGCCTGACCCCAGATACCAATACAGCTTCCATGGCCAACCTAGAAGGAGCTGGCTAAGGATCAGGGTTGGGAGTGAGCAAGGCCGGGGCCTTCCTAAATGAAATCTGGTGTTCTTGTGCCCAGCTCCTGATTGCTTACAAGTCAGCCCCTGGAACCTGTTGCTACATCATGAAGATGGCTCCAGAGGGCATCCCCAGTCTTGAGGCTCTCATTAGAAAATTCCAGAATTTCCAGGTGGGTGTATGGATGAGAAGGAGTGGACTGTCTCCTTCTCAGGGTTGCTGTGAGGACAATTTGTGATGATGTATATTGTCAACTGTAAAGCACTGCTCCTTGTGGGCTGTCAGGTGAGTGCCACTCTCTATACTCACCTGCACCACACCTTCCCTACCCATTTCTGCCCACTCCACTGCCAAGCTACCAGTCCCACACAAAACCTGGGTGCTTCTGACACTAGCACAATCCTCTCTATATTGGTAAGGAAACTGAGGCTCAGAGAGAGTGCTTGACATACCTGAGGTCCCACAATAAGGTCAGAGGTAAGACAAAAACTCAGTTTCCAGACACCAAATCAGGTGCTCTTTCCAGGCCAAGCCTGCAGTGCCTACCTCTAAGCTGGGCCAGGAAGAAAGGCGCAGCGCAGGCTCAGCATCCTCTGGAGACCTGGCCTTTCTGGGCACCACCATGAGCACCCTGTGTGGTGAGGTGCCTCTCTATTACATCTAGGACCCTCAGGTGAGCCGGGGCCAGGGCACTGGAGCAGCAGCAATCTTGGAGGGCTTGGGCCACCTGCCATGTCAGTTGACCAGGCACTGGAAGAGCCACCGATGCCCCTTCACCTAGGGAGCTCAGGGGAGGGAAGGTGCAAAGACACCCTCCCCCAGTCCTTCTCCCTGACATGATTGTGTTTCTTTGCTTCACAGGGTCTGTGGAAGCCCCAGGGGGACAGGAAAGACCCATTGAGCAAACGATCTTTTGCAGACAGGCAGAAAGCTGTTCGTCCAACCTTATTGTGGGACTGGCCCTGGAGAAATAGGAGCTTGTGGGGTGAGGATGGGAGCTGGGAGAGGAGGTGGCTTCTATGGGCCAGGTTGTTCCTACCACAAAAGAATAAAGCAGCTTTATAGAAAAACGAAGGGTTGTACCTCTTATACCGTCTGATATTCCCTCAGTCCTGCTCTTGGTAGGGGCCGGCTAGAGGAAGGGTAGGGCCTTGGGGAACCAGAGGGTGCTTTCCCATTCTCCCTCTGTCCCAGGGTGATGGGGATTCAGTCCACCACCGGCAGGGAAGGACGGGCAGTGGGGACGGCACTGGGGAGCAATCCACGGACTTCAGGCGCCCTCCAGTGGTGTCTCCAGAGAGAGGGCGAGAGACAGAGACAGTGAGAGACAGAAAGGCAGAAATATAGAGACAGAGACTGACAGCGGGAGAGATCGAGGGTCCAAATAAGGGAGAGAGTGAGAGATGCAAGCGGAGAAACACACACACATAGGGACATACAGGCAGAGACAGCGCGAGGAATCGAGCGCCTGACAGCGTGTCCCGCAGCCCGGAAGGGGGCTGTGGGGTCGGGACACCCGCTGTAGAA